TGCTGTCTCTCGTTCCCCCTACAACTCCGTCATATGGGGTCTACAGCTACTCCTGCTGCAGCAACAGCAACAGCAGCAGCAGCATCAAGTCTAGCAGCAGCAGCAGTAGCAGCGCCAAGACCAGCAGCAGCAGCAGCAGCAGCAGCTCCGGAACCCTTCACCGTTCCTCCAGCAGCAAAAGCAGAAGCAGCAGCAGGAGCAGCAGCAAGGGAAAAAGCAGCAGCAGCAGCAGCAAGGGAAAGAGCAGCAACGTCGAATACGGCCCGACGCAGTCGGCAATGGGGACATCAGAAGCAGCAGCAACAGCAGCAGCAGCAGCAAGCTCAACTGCAGCAGCAGCAGATTTCACGCTACCCGTTGACTATGAGAGCTTTGCTGCTATCGTAGCAGCAACAGCAGCAGCAAATTCAGCAGCAGCAGTAGCCATGGCACAAGGTCCTTCAACTGTTTCTGGGGCCCTCCAGAAGACATATTCTGCTGCTGCTGCTGCTGCTGCTGCTGCAGCAGGCAAGGTTAAGTCATCCTTGCTGCTGCAGGGGCAAGACTGCGGCAGGCCGCCCCGCCGTTTGCTGCTGCTGAAGGAAGACAGCGATGCAGCAACAGCAGCAGCAGAAGCAGCAGCAGGTGCTGCTGCTGCACACTCCAACAAGGAGCCGTTGGCAGCAGCAGCAGAAACAGCAGCAACAGAAGCAACAGCAGCAGCAGCAGCAGCAGCAGCAGCTCCACGAATCTTCAGTGGGCTTTTGCTTCCTGTTGCGCCTTCTCCTTTGGCGTCGGCACCCACTCCAGTGACGGCAAGGTTATTTGTAAGCTGTTAAGGGTTTAAGGATTAGGGTTTAGGGTTTAGGGTCTAGGGTTTAGGGTTTAGGGTTTAGGATATAGGGTTGCAACGCGACGCGTAGCCACTCTATGATTGCAGTCCTTTTGTCTGGTTGTGTCGCCGCGAATGCAGCTGCTGCTGCACCTGCTAGCTACACCTGCTGCTGCTGCTGCTGCTGTTGCTGCTGTTGCTGCAGTTTAATGCCGGCAGTGCTGCGCTCCGCGAGTTGCTGCTGGGGAAGCTCTTCTGCATCCGATCGCTGGCTCGTTGCTGCTGCAGCAGCAACAGCAGCAGTAGCAGCAGCAGCAACGACACTGCGAGCCCTGAACAAACCCCAAGACCTCGAATGGCTCTGCTGCCTGTTTCACGGACACAAGGAAACACCAGCAGCAACACCAAATACAGCAGCAGCAGCAGCAGCAGCAGCAAGAAAAACACCAGCAAGAGCAGCGGCTGCTCTGCGCTGTACTCTCGGCAGCAGCAGCAGCAGCGCCTTCCTGTGGCTGCTAGGAAGAATAGAAGCAGTATTAGCAGCAGCATCAGCAGCAACAGCATCAGCAACAGCAGCAACTGTAGCAGCAGCAACTGCAGCAGCACCAACAGCAGCCTACTTCTGTCAATGGACGGCTATGGGCTGCAAGACTGTTCGGAGAGCCCCAACAAAAATGACTGCTGCATCAGCAGCAGCAGCATCAGCAGCAGCAGCAGCAGCATCAGCAGCAGCAGCAGCAGCAGCAAGACAGGCGCGGGGAAGCTGGCTTTCACGAGCAACAGCAGCAGCAGTAGCAAGGGCAATAGCAACTGCAGCACAGCTGTCAGCAGCACCAGCAGCATCGCTGCCGCCTTGACACCGCATGCTGCAGCCACGCCTGCTGCTGCTGCTGCTGCTGCTGCTGCTACGCCTGCACCTGCACCTACTGCTGCTGCGGGGGAGGCATCAGCTAAAGCTGCTGCTGCTTCAGGATCTGCTGCTGCTGCTGCTGCTGATGCAAAGTGGCTGCTGCCCTTTGAAGCCCACTTCTGCGCCTCCTCATCTCTTGCTGCTTCCGACTGTTTAGGGGGGGGCTTGCTGCAGCAGCTGCTGCAGCGGCACGTCAATTTCCTGCAGGCGCTGCAGCCGCAGCAGCAGCAGGAGCAGCAGCAACCGGGGCAGCAGCAGAAGCTACGCAGCGCCACCTTTACTGCAGCAAGCGGGCAAGACTCGCAGGCACAACAGCAGCCCCAGCTTAGCAGCAGCAGCAGCAGCAGCAGCAGCAACAGCAGCAGCAGAGATATGACCCTCCTCCTAGTGCCCTCGGTGCCGCAATCTACTTCGCTGCTGAAGACGATCAACGAACTCTTCATCGCGAAGTCTGCTGCTGCT